AGGGGACGACAGAGAATGAGGTGACTAGATGGAGTCACTGAAGTAGTAGGCGTGAGCTTAAAGGGACTCCAGAAGATGGTAGAGGACAGGAAGGCCTGGAGGAACATTGTCCATGGGGTCGTGATGTGTTGGACACGACTTCGCAACTAACAACAAATACAAATATAACATTTTTGGTGTTACTGCTGTTGCTTTGCAATGAAATTCATAAAGAAGTTTCATAACACTTCATGCAATTGTATACAAATCGATTTAATAGGTAATTAATAATAGAAGTAGAAACTATTGTTATTGTTATTCTTTTTCTTGCTTAGAAATTTATTTCTATTATCCAGTTCACAATAATTTACCAAGACTGTCTGTAAGTAACTGCTTGGAACTTCTGTAAACTTCCAACCATCTTGTCTTCTACCAGGCTTTTTTTTTTCTATAACCTTCTATTTTTTCAATCAGAGAATTAGCCAAGAACTCTTATTTCTGCATTATATTTCCAAATTATGTCACTTTTAGCTTCATAGTTAGAGTTTCCAATGAGTTTTCTGGCTTTACTGCATCTTCTTGCTGTCCAAGGTACTCAACAATTTTTTATAGCACTGCTAAACAAAATGCTTATAATTATTCATGATCGCTGAATGCAATTCAGATATAAGTAAGTGCCATGAAAGTTTTTCTCTAATTCACTAATTCTCTAAATTGCTAATTTCAAAAAATTAGCAATGGATTACCTATGTATATTTTACTGAGACCTCCATTCCATTGCACACGCCTAAATCCATGAAAGCCATCCATTAAGCTAAAAGATTCAAGAGACCTTCTCCACAATTTATGAGCAGTTTCTTTTATTCTTTAATGGTAATCTAAAAACTTTATCAGGAAGCAAATAATCTGATTCCAGTTTCATTATAAGATGCAAACAAAATATTTTAAAAGTTATAAGTAAGAGGGAGAAAAAAGAATGCTATCCAGCAAGGAGGGATGGAAAAACAGAGGAAAATATATGTCTGTAAATATTGATGGAGTAGAGTGGGAAAGGAACAGAAAAGAAGAGAATGAACACAGTAGGTTGGAGACAAATGAGAACTGGGTATCCAGGATAGGGGATAAATGATAATTTCATTGAGGCCACTCAGCTCAGGAGGGAGCCCTCGTTCTGTGGCACGGTTTGGATGGGGTACTTTTTCTTTGCTTGCCTGAGGAGGTTCAATTCTTGCAATTCTTTAGAAGTCCATAATATATGGAACTTTTGCTTTGTTGGAAGCAACTACATGTAATTCTCATTTGGGGACTGCAATCATTAATTGTTACTAGGGTTATGAAAAAGTAACTTTTTGACCGAACCACACATTTTACAGGTTTATAAAGCAAGGAAAAGCTGAAGAAAGATTGTAAACACAGTTATAGTTTCATTTAGAGATCACTTTGCTTAATGACTATTGTTAGTCCCAATTGTGGTCACTAAACGAGGACTGTAGATTTGCACCATTGTGTAATTAAAATGGTTACAACAGGAGTAACATACTAATATGGAACTCCACTTCCTAGCAGCATGAAAGGCAAGAAATGAACCTCTGGAAAGCTTGTATAAGAAAATGGTTCAGCATCTGGGTAATTGCTGTTTTGGATTCATTGGTTAGATGGAGAAGTTCAGAGATTCATACAGGAGAGGGACAACAAAATAGAATAGAGGAAACAAGAACAAGATGTAGTTAAAAGCATAATATTTTTGCTTTCCTTATTTGAATGGATCTCATTTTTTCTTAATATTGGTTATATTTTAAACAATTCCTTGTAGTAATGGTGTTTGTTCATTATAGAAAAAATTAGATGGTTACTAAGCCTTTGCATGGATGTAAACTTCATATATGCTTCAGCTTAAATGGAAAGTTGGGAAGATATTCTATGGCCAAAAACTTTCTTCTGGATTTACAGTACATGCCTAATTTTTAGAGAAGATAATTCTGTATGAAATTGTAGTTTGTAGCATTCTGTTCCACCTTTTTGAACTGAGGTTTGTTTTGGCTCAGGTCTCTCTGAATGATTTGCTCACTATCACAGGATCAAATCTTAGTTTCAGTAATAGGAAAGCAGATTTCCATTTGCTCACATGCAAATACCAGATCACTCCATTAATGAAACAAGAGACAGATAAAAACTGTCCCTCCTGCCCAAAAGATAGTGACTTCTATAATATTGCATCATGCTCATGAGAAAAAGGTTGGTAATAATTGGTCTCGCTGCAAATGGAGCTTGCATTTGATACACAGAATCCACAGGAATTCATTTATATTGGCTTTAGTCATTTTTTAAAACAATACACTTTATTTAACTAAAGAGAAATTTCCTGACAATTAGAACAATTAATCAGCGGAACAACTTGCCTCCAGAAGTTGTGGGTGCTCCAACACTATAGGTTTTTAAGAGATTTGTCTGAAATGGTGTACGGTTTCCTGCCTGAGCAGGGGATTGATCCCCAACCTTTCTGGCTTGGTGGACTGGTGGGGGGTCCCATGTGAGCAGCAGGCATGCATAGCTCCATTTGTACAAGCAGTGGGCTTGTGCAGCCTGGTTCCTAATGAGCCACAGCCCAGTACTGGGCTGTGGCCCAGGTGTTGGGGACTCCTGGACTAGAAGATCTCCAAGGTCTCTTCCAGTTCTGTTATTCTGTTAATTATCAGATTTTTTTCTTGAATATCTATTTATCTGATTGAAGTCCAGAGAAATCTAACAGTCTCCATATGCATCATGTTTGGCTCCCAGACATCTACAGGCCTTTTCCCAACCTATAAGATCTTACAGGGAGCAGCTCCCAGTAGTTCCACACTTCTGAAAAGGAGGGGGGGGGGACAGATGAGATTAGTCAGTATTGTTTCTTTGTAGCAATGTCTTTACTTTGGAATGGCCTCTTATTTGGAGATCAGAGTCAATTCCCTCCTTGCTGACCTTTAGGAAGCTAATTATTCTGGACAACCTTTTCATGATTTTGCTGACTTAATTTCTTATAGTACTTTTATTATTTCACTCTCTTATGTTTTGTCATTTATGTTGGTATTCTATAGATTTAAGCTTTTATATCATTCTATTTAGTATAAGTCAACACTAATATATAGATCCAATAAATAAATATGTAAAATGATTTGTTTTTGTAAGTTAAGATCATTTATCAATATTTAACCCATTCCATGACATGTTATATTATTCTTGGGAAATGTAATCAAGAAGGTATTAGGTGATACTTGAATTGTGTCCTGAAGAAAGTCACTATCTAGACCCCTTGTATGCAGGTTAATATTCAGGCAAGAACTGGAAATACCACCACTTGCTGTGAAGTGAGAACTATATAACCTGGAGGACAGAAGTAAAAGAGGGACATGATTTAAACCTATAAACAAATTAAAGGTATGAATAAGGTTCTAATGAAAGAGAATATTTGTAGCTCAGGGTTGAAATGAGGGGTTCATGGTGCTCTCTGAGCTTGCTCGTTTTCCTGTAGACGTTTCATTACCCTAACTAGGTAACCTCATCAGTGCTAGTAAGGAGTGCTATTTCTAGAATAAGATTCTAAAAGGCAGTATTTTCAATATTAAGCAAAAATCAAGGACACATGGGCAAAACCTCAAACTGGCAGGAGGGAATTTCAGAAGTAATGTTGGAAAGTATTACTTCACAGAAAGAATAGTGGAAGCTTGGAACCAACTTCCAGTGGAGGTAATGGGTCAATCAACAGTTTAAAACATGTTTGGGATAAACACATATCCATCATCCAACAAAAATTAAAAATAAAATAAAAATAGATAAAGTATAAAAATCATAATTAAAATATAACAAATGAACAAAAACAAACTCAAAGAGCAGCCTTGAGGGACCACTGTCTTTTCTGGCCATCACTTTCCGATGTTTCTAACTAGACCAGGGGTAGGCAACCTTGGCTCTTTTATGACTCGTGGACTTCAACTCCCAGAATTCCTGAGCCAGCTGAGTTGAAGTCCACGAGTCATAACAGAGCCAAGGTTGCCTACCCCTGAACTAGACAATCAAAAATGTCAACAGCAATAGCTCCTTGCTACATTTTTGTTTTGTTTTGGGTTCCATCAGACTTTTAATTTTCTGCCACATCTGAGCAATCTGCCAGAATTCGTTTACTTTGAATCTTATTAAGAATATTGTTGGAAGCTCAACAGCGATCAAAGATTACATAATCTTTTTAGATTAAGGACATTTGAGAGATGGTATAAATTACCATTCTTGATATCAGACACAACAAAATTTAGACTGCTCAGAGCAGTCAGAAAAGTCAGCCTCATTTCCAATTGTGTGCACATGTATAGAAGCAAGAGATGTACTGATGTACAGTGCCTTTAAGTAACAGGTCAGTTTGTTATTTATAGAACTGCTAAAGTTCTGCTACGGATAAAGGTATGGTTTGGAAGGGCAATAGCATCTTTTACATCCAAGGTACTCCTGTTCAGCAGTTGGAAATTACCTAAGAAATATGACTGGTTTCAAAAGCACCTCATTTCCAAAGCAAAACTGCATCCTGAACTTCTTAAAATGCTTCCAACTGTCACAGAAATGCCTAAACCTTTTACAGTTTCTTCAAGGCTAATTAAATACAATATCTCTTCAATGATTTAATGGGGGTGTGATTAGAAACTAGATAAATCCCAAAGCCATCTAAAATCTATGTGAGGGTTATCTACAGATTTTTCAGGTCTTTTATACTCACTCCCGTCAATTCTGCCAACAGGATCACTAATGATCACTGATACGCTTTGTAGTTTGGCATGAGATCCGCAGGTCCGCACTCCCAAACTTTGGGTGTTAAAACAAAGCAGAATAGTTTAGTAGCGCAAACTCGACAGACATTTTGGTATAGGAGGTGGGGACGTCTCGCTCTTCGCACCAAAGCCAGCCCCCGGAGATAAGACTCCAAATGGGCCACAAGAGAAAAGACCAAAGGAAGGGGGAAAAGAGGGTACGGAGCCTCTGTTCGAGTTTCTTACCTGAATGTCTGGAAGCGGCTAAGAACCTGGGCGCTCGCTCCCTGGAGGTCGAGGAAGAGCTGACTTTGGCTTCCCGATCCAGAGCTGCCGAGGAATAATGGGCGCCGCCGCCGCCGCCGCCGTTGGCGAAGCGCCGAGCGATGACCCGCTCCGCCCTGAAGGGATGAGAGGCTGCCTGGAAGCTGCTGCTGCTGCTGCTGCTGCTGCTGCTGTCCACCAGAGCTTTGAGCAGCAAGTCGAGCAGCGTTTTCCGGTCCCCTGCGGGCCCTTGGAGGTCTTTGGCTTTGCTTTGGATGGCGACGTTGCTATCGCTTTCCAAGCGGGACGTCCGCGCTGAAGTGAGAAATAGAAAGAAGACAAGGGCGGACAGCACGTGGCGACGGCGGCATTTCGTAGCCCCGGGCATCTCTCGGTCGCCTGGGAGGAGAAAAGAAGCAATAACCCGGTGGTTAGCTTCTCTCCCGGTCCATCCAGAGAGCTTTCCTCATGGTGGGGGGGGGAGTCAGGCGCGCTGGCCGGGGGAGATCCGAAAAGGTCACCCACGGCCACGGGCAGCACGAGATCAGTTGCTAACAGCGCGTCCTGATTTGGCAAAGACACGTGGTTCTGCTGGGGCGCGCGCACAAGTGGTCGGTGAGACCGCTGTCACTCCCGCAGCTACAAGTGTTCGCTTCGCCCGGCCGCGGCCGAAGAAATAGTTCCTTGGGGGAGGGACTGGGGGGCGGGGGGAAACGGGACCGAAGGGGGGTCGCGAATCGCCAGCCGGGCTGGTGCTTCCCTAGATTCCGTTCCCTGGGAGCGACCGCGCAGGCGATTGGGAAGGGAGGCACTTCTTTAGCTGACCAGTCCCGCCAGGACGAGCCCGCCTACTAGACCGCCGCGGCAGCTTTGCTCTGCAACCTCAGGCGGCTATGTAGCTCATACCCAAGATTGTGAGAAAAGGATATTTAGCGAGGCGAAGCGTACCACAGTTTAAGGGATCTGGCGGGAAAGTGCCCGGGAGGGGGAGGTGAATGGCTGCGGGTATTTTCCAAAGAATCCCTGAAACTTTTAGACGCACGAAAGATTTATTTTCACGTGCAGCTCGGCGAATGATCCACAGCTCTTCTTCCTCATGAGACCAAAAGGATAGATCTGACCTACAGGTTCCTTCAGAAACATGCAGTTGATGAGATAATACAGTGCAGCTGAAATAATTGGAGGGCCTGAGGTGTTTCTCTCACGGTAGGATTTTCCTCCGCACTGACAAACTGCCACTTCAGATTTACTTCTAGGACCTGAAAACCATTTGCTTTCCATTCCGTTTTTTCAGATCAATTAATAAAATTATAATACTAACGATATTTCCCCTGATCATTTCACAGCCTTTACGGGTGGGTACTTGTCAGTGGGTGACCACCGGTACAACGCCTCACGATCGGTTCTTGTTCAATGCCGTGGCACCTCCTGTTTGGGATCGTACATAAAAACCATTTCTGTGGGCTGAAGCTCACCGACCCAGTCTTTAATAGCCTTAAGTAAGTTAATAGCCTTCAGTTCTAGAAAAAGGGAGCTGAACATTCAGTTAACTCCGAATCTCTCCCAAAGCGTTTTCGCTACTTTTTAAAGTAAGAAGGAAGACAGGGAATCTCCTCCCTGAGTCCAAGGATTGGAAATGGCGGACAGGTGTGCATTCTCTGAGAACAGACGGAGCTCTCCAGGGAAACTGGCATCCCCAAAGTGAAGATGAAACAAGTCCCACCCAACCCCCACCCCTTTAACCCTGTTAAAGGCTTGCCTAGCTTTAGCAAAACATGTCCAACTCTTCTCTTACATAGGGCATGAAAAGATAAAGTGTTACCTGCCCACGTTGCTTCTTGGTGCAGGAATCTTCTTCCCCCCACTAAAGATTTGTCAGCCTCCTTGGGAGCCGGTGGGCAGCAACAGCCATAGACCTGCTTTATATACTGTAGTTACCTCGCCCTCTCCGTTAGAGTGCTATCGACTTTAGGTGGGTGGCATGCAATGAAACTTTCTCTTAATCATTCTTCCTTGGCTCAGCGAGGGTCTTTTTTCTTCCCTGACAAACTTCTTCCTTCCCACTTGTCCTCCTGAGAAGCCAGTTCAGAGCCATCAACTGAGATGACTCTTACCTACTTGTGAAATTAAATTGTCACACAGATTAGGGGATGTTTCAGGCTCCTTGGTCCAAGTTGTTGTCTTTTTTTTTCCTTTCATCTCCCTCCCCCCACACCCCATTTTCTTTCTTTCTTTTAGCTGGACTTTCTGGTACAGATGTAATTAGGAGGGTAGGGGCAGAGCTAAAATAAAGTCTCAGGAATACAAAGAAAATGGCCCCTGCCACGTCAAAAAAAGATCCCTTTGTGCACACATTTCTCACAGTTGACCTAAGCTTAGAGAAGATGACAATGTGGGTTTAAGTAAAAGAAACAGGAATAGTCTATTAGAAGTTCAGATTAAGACTATGCATGCTGACTTCGCTAATAGACAATGGGAGCTTTTGGCATTTTAAGATGGGGTTTTTTTTAGCATATTTAACACTATGTGGAAGGAAAGCAAAATATGTGTGAATAAAAAACAATATGAAATTATATACTATACAAAATGAAAAAAGAAATAGCTTTTATATTACAGTCTCACTATAATAGACTGGAAGTGAGAGTGAGAAAATAATAAGAATCCTCAGAAGAAGAAATATGGGCTACTCTTGAAAATGTGAGAGACTATAAGGAAACTCCAGGGCTACAGACCAATAGCCTTGAAGTAATATGGATATGTCTATGAAGTCATCAGGTGCTGACCACAACCCAAAGCTGTCTTTCTTTTTATTGATCCTTTTAAACCAAAGCCTTGGCACTTCAGATTTGAGTAAAAATTAGTGATAAAAGTTAAGAACTTTAACACATGTACATTTTTTGCTTTCTCTCTTAACTATACTGAAGAATGCCCCTGTAAACTTTTTTCAAATGTTATGATTAATTTGCACATGATATGGGAACACTCTTTGAAAACAACATTCCAGTAAGTCCTTAGAAATGTGATAGGTTTTATACACAAAAATATTTGAATAGGTCAGTACCTTAGCATCACCCAGCCATAACTGACTTCATTCTTGTAACTTTGGCCTAACAATGCAAAATGACTCAAGATAATACTATAAATATATAATGAGGATCACAAATTCTAGCAACAAGGCAAATTTGCTAGCTTGGATATTGTCTGTTAGGTAAATCTTGTCTTTCAGGGTTGGTAAACAGGCACAAAACATCCTATGTTATGTGTATAAAGAGTTCCAAGTATATATGAATACTTACATTTCCCAACAACTGGTTGTGTGGGTGTGGGTACAATCATTCTGACACTTAATCAAAAGAGATACTGGACTCTGAACAGCATTGAAGCTCACAAGATCATACATCTGGAAAAGTAGTACAAGGAAGCTCTAAGCTCCAGGTATTAGTCATAGAGTGGTTGACAGCATGGATTACAGAGCGCAAGCTATGATGAAGCAGAGACTGGAAATGAGGTTGAAGAATTCCATTTCTATTGTGTATGAGTATGATTGATCAGGCAATATCAATACCCTGCAAAACCCAATTAGAAATGTCCCTTTTACATAGTACAGACTATCAATAGCAGTCTGAGAAACACTGATTAACAAGCTTATATCAAGTTTATCCTATCAATTGCCAGCTATATGGATTGAAACTGATACTAATGAGATTCAAAGCCACCATATCCAGGTAAATTGGGACTACGACTCCCAGAATTTGTAGTTAATATTTACTCAACAGCACTTTTATTAATTAAAAGTATATTAAAACAAAACAGAAAAAGACAAACCTTGTTAAATTTGAAGTTGAGAAGTAAGATTAATCTGTTTTTGTAAGGGAAAAAGTGAACCCTGCATATGTATGTGTTTCAATAAATTCATTCTAAATATTGAAGACATTGTACTAGATGCTATTAGGCTTTAAAATAGTAAAATGTTAAGAAAAAAGCAACTTTTTTCAACAAATGGCTATTGTTCTGCAAAATATCAGAGTACAGTTATGTGTTTAATAACCTGGGGGGGGATATGATCGGACACGCTGTATGAATGTATTTATTTTATTGTTTTATTGTTAGATTACTGTTTTAATTTTGTACGCCGCCCTGAGTCCCTTGGGATTGGGCGGCATATAAATTATATTTATATATATATATATATATATATATATATATATATATATATATATATATGGTCTTTGTTTGTTCGGGTTTTCTCCCGCGTAAAATTGGAAGTGTCTTGGCGACGTTTCGACGAAGTCCCATTCGTCATCTTCAGGCTGGTGTTTTCAGCTTCGTGCTTTGAGCAGCAATGTGTGGTCTTAGCTGTTCTTCCTTTTAACTGCCAGTGGGGGTATGAACTGATTGGGTGGGAGCTTGGCTGTGTTCTGATTGGGTGGAGGTGTGTTCTGAATGGTTAGGGGCTTGGCTGTGCTCTGATTGGCTGGGGGAGTGTTCTGTTTGGTTGTGCTCAGGTTAGTCTGAGTTGCAGAGGGGTTTGAGATTTTGGGCTGCCTTGCTATTTTTTGGCTTCGCGTTCGTGGTCGTGCTTCCTCTTCATGGAGGGTGTCAGTTTGCTTCATGTATGGATTGGAGGGGTTTAAAGTGGCTAATGATGCAGCTGTGGTCTGGCTTCTGGTTTGTGGTCATGCCTCGTCATCGGTGTGGCTTTGGGTTTGTTTTTTGCGTGGATGTGTGGTGGTGACATCCTGTGTGGTTTTTGTGAGTGTGGGTCTGGTATCATTTTTTGTGTTAGGGAGTCGTTTGTCAATAAGGGCGGGTTTCCAAATGGCTGGTAGGCGGGAGGTATCATCTCGCTTGTTCATGCTGTGTGGGCGTTTTTCTATCTCGATGGCTTCTCTGATTATTCTGTTATTAAAATGTTCACTTTTGGCAATGGTTCTGGTATTTTTAAAGTCAATTTCATGTCCTGTGGCTTTAAGGTGTTGGACCAGGGAAGATGTTGGTTCCTCTTTTTTGACTGAGTTCTTATGTTCTTCAATGCGTGCACTTATTCTTCTGTTGGTTTGTCCGATGTATGTGGTGGGACAAGTGGTGCATGGGATTTCGTATACTCCTTGATTTTCTAATTCAATTTTATCTTTGGGGTTTCTAAGGATGGTGGATATTTTTCTGTTTGTGCAGAATGCTGTTTTGATGTTGTGTTTATGGAGGATCTTACTGATTCTGTCTGTGGTGCCTTTTATGTATGGGAGGAGGGCTTTGCCGTTTTCTTGTTCTTTGTCTTGGATTTTAGTGGGGGTTTCTTTTTGGATTAGATTTGTAATCTTATTTCTATGGAATCCATTGGATGTTAGTACATTGGTGAGAGTGTGTAGTTCGGGTTTTAGGTGTTGTTCGTCAGCTAAGCGTTTTGTTATGGAGATGAGTGTCTTGGCTACAGAGTTGATCTGTGCTGGGTGGTGGTGTGAGAGAGCGTGCAGATAGCGGTTTGTGTGTGTTTTCTTCTGGTAGATGGTGTGTCCTAGGGAGCCATTGGATTTCTTGTAGACTAAGACATCCAGGAAGGGAAGTTGGTTATTAGCTTCTGTTTCCATGGTGAACTGTATTTTGGGTGTAGGCTGTTGAGGTGTGTGAGGAAGTTGTCCAGTTTTTCTTTCCCATGTGGCCAGATTATGAAGGTGTCGTCTACATATCTGAGCCAGAGTTTGGGTTTGTGATCCGATTTTTCTAGAGCTTGGGTTTCAAAGTGTTCCATGTAGAAGGTTGGCAATGACAGGTCGAGAGGGGTGATTCCAATGGTGATCCTTCTGTTGTTTGTTATTTTTGTCCATTAAGATGAAAGTATGGTGTTGGATAGGCAAGTGGTTGGTCAGATCTAAGATGTGTTTGGGGGGGTTATATTTGTTTTGAATAGCTGTCAAGGCTTCTTTGATAGGCACGTGGGTGAAGAGGGATAGGACATCGAAGCTCACTAGTAGGTCGCTGGGCTGTAAGCTTTGTTTCTTTATGATCTCTATAAACTGGAATGAGTTTTTTACGTGTGAGGTGATGGATTCTGCAGAGGGCTGTAGTTGTTTGGCGAGAAATTTGGCTAGGTTTTGTAGAGGTGAGCCTATGGAGCTGACTATTTTTTAAGGGGGTCTTGAGTGGGTTCAAGCTCCCACCCAATCAGTTCATAACCCCACTTGGCGTTAAAAGGAAAGAAACAGCTAAGACCCACACAATGGCTGCTCAAAGCACGAAGCTGAAAACACCAGCCTGAAGATGACGAACGGGACTTCGTCGAAACGTCGCCAAGACACTTCCAATTTTACGCGGGAGAAAACCCGAACAACCAAAGACCTATATACAAATACCCGCGAAAACCTCAGAAAACAAATCTATATATATATATATATATATATATATATATATATATATATATATATATATATATATATGTAAGTCTTTGGTTATTCGGGTTTTCTCCTGCGTAAAATTGGAAGTGTCTTGGTGACGTTTCGACGAAGTCCCATTCGTCATCTTTAGGCTGGTGTTTTCAGCTTCGTGCTTCGAGGAGCAATGTGTGGTCTTAGCTGTTTCTTCCTTTTAACTGCCAGTGGGGGTATGAACTGATTGGGTGGGAGCTTGGCTGTGTTCTGATTGGGTGGAGGTGTGTTCTGATTGGTTAGGGGCTTGGCTGTGCTCTGATTGGATGGGGGGTTGGCTATGCTTTGATTGGATGGGGGGTTGGCTGTGCTCTGATTGGCTGGGGGAGTGTTCTGTTTGGGTGGGGGCTTTGATGTGCTCAGGTTAGTCTGAGTTGCAGGGGGGTTTAAAATGGTGGGCTGCCTTGCTATTTTTTTTTTTGGCTTAAAATTTTCTAAGAGATTTAA